ACCCCGCACTGCCATTTTACCCCCCGCCCCGGCGACCTACCAACTAACCCACCCAAGGACAATCCCCCTCGGCCCCCGGATCAAATTCAACACCCACGACATATTCGCTTCGGTAGCAATATTCATGAACCAGATCACAAGTGACCCGCATCCGGCCTCGCAGCCCCACACATTTAGCACTTCACGGGACAATTAATCCCCCCAGACATTTTTACCCCAACCCAAGACATTTACCCAGGACATTTACCCCGCCCGGCGAGCATCTGACCTGGCCCCCATACAAATTACCCAGAGCCCGGACATTTACCCCCCCGACATTGTAGAGGAGGAAGTCAGAGGAAAGCGGACGAGAAGGTATTGGAGGAGCGAGTCAGGAGGGGCGAGAAGAGGTTTAGACGAGCGTAGGAGGAGGTGCAGGCGGTAGTTGAAGGGAGGAGACAGAGAGGGAGAATCGTGCTTAGGAGCGAGGCGAGGAGATGAAGCGAGTAGAACGCCTCATCTGCTTACTCCATCCCATCCATGCCACCCTACTCTCCCTCCTCCTCCTTTCCTCCCCGTTTCCTCGCGCACACTTCTCACCTCGCTCCTCCTCGCGCACCACTTCTCTCATCCTCCTCCTTCTCCATCTCCCTCTCTCTCCTCGGATCCTCCTCCACCACTTCCCCCCTCCTCGCTCTCCCCACTGTGCCCCTATGCCGGTACCCTCCCTCCCCTTCTCTAGCCTTGCTCCTCTCCAACCTCTCGCTCTCCCCCTCCTCCTTCCTCCCTCCTCCTCCTTCTCTCCTAACCCTCTCTACGCTTCTCCCCCTGCCTCCTCGGCACCTTCTCCCTCCCCCTGCTCCTCCCCCCACGTTCTGCTCCCTCCTCGCACCGTTCTCTCCTCCTCGTCTCCTGACCTCCACCTTCTCCCCCTCCTCCGTCCAACCGTTCTTCCCTGACCTCCCCTCCTCCTCGCACCACTTCTCCCCCTTCCCCTCCTCCACTTATCTCATCCTCTCCTCCTCCACCTCTCCCCCCCTTCCCCTCCTCAACCACCTTCTCCCCACGCTTCTTCCCCTCCTCCCTCCTCCACCACCCTTCTACTCCCCTCCTCCTCGCGACTCCTCCGCTGTATCAACTGTTCAACATGAATGAAATAAACACTAATGAAGATTGTCCGGGGGTAAACTGTTCGGGGGGTAAATGTCCGGCCGGTGTAATTGTCCGGGTAAAATGTCCGGGGGTAATATCCGGCGGGGTTAACAGTTCCGGAGGCAAATTCCGCGGTAAATGTCCGGGGGCACATTGTCTGGGGGTGATTGTCTGCCGGTGTAATTTTCCGGGGGTGAATTGGCATGGGGGTAATTGTTCCGGGGGTAAATTGTCCCAGGCGGTGATGTCCGGGGGGTATGTACTCAGAACC